GTCCTAATATAAACTTCATATATTCATAAAAAGTACTAGTAACTAGGGCGGGGACCGGTTCGGTTCCTACTCAAAATGAGTGGAACCGTTATAAAAATTTTAACTTATGAAATCGGTTCGGTTCCTATATAAAAAATCAAGAACCGTTATAGAACCGAACCGGTAGTAAACGGTTCGGTTCTTCCTTTTACCGGTTCCTAGAATAATTTTTTCTTGTCTAAGAATTAACACATAATTTTAAACACGACGACAATTCAAAACACGAGTATTAAAATTTTAATTGAAGCTCTAATCACTTCAAACATCAAAGCTCAAACTTAACTAATGAACTTTGAACACTTAATAGAACAAAAGTGATTTAATTTTCATGTAATAAATCAAACATTAAAAATCGTTGTAGTGTCGGAGCGATGAAGGTTACTCGTCATCATAGTAGCAAGAATAGGACGCCTACTTCAAGTCTTTCAAAACATAAAAAAAGACATTGAGTTTGCATGTATAGATGTAAAAAAACATTATTACATTCTATTGATTCATAATAAATGTAATAATTAGAAATATCATGAAAATAGTAAAGTAAAATATGTGCAATCAACCACAAGTTATTTGGGTTATTTTATATTTATAAAATTTATGTCATGGAACAAAACTTGATTTGTAGAAAGGAGTTTAATGTATTATATCAACCTCATGTACAATATTTATTACTTCTTTTCCGTTGATTAAATTAGAATTGTTAGTTAAATATCTTATATATTTTTTATTATTGTTGTTGTGGTGGTGGTTATTATAGCTATTATGTTATTGTTATTATTATTATTATTATTATTATTATTATTATTATTATTATTATTATTATTATTATTATTATTATTATTGTTACTACTACTACTAATATTATTATTATTTTTTAATAACGGTTCCTTAACGGTTCCATGCACATATTTTTTATAGGAACCGGGAACCGAACCGTTATAACCCGTTTCGGTTCGGTTCCTACAAATGAGGCATTAATTGTTAACGGTTCGGTTCCTAGATGTTGTTAACGGTTCGGTTCCAATCGGTTCTACGGTTCCCGGTTCCAAAATCCCACCCCTACTAGTAACTTTTTCATAGAAAGTATCAAATATTCTCATATTTTTTTATTTACTTTTTGGTGACAACTCCGGTACCTTTTAAAAAAATGGGGTACCGTACCTACCATTCATTTGATTGGACCACACCACTTTATCTTTTTTAATTTAGATTTAAATAATTCAACTACAACATTCTAATTGGTCCATGTGGACAAAGGTATGGTACCTCATGGGTACCATAGAATCTACCTTACTTTTTATACCCAAAGTATGACATTTTTAGAAAGTCAACTAGCCACGTTAACTTTTCACTAAAATTTCAAGTTTTTTACCAAAGGAAGGTACTTTTAAATCTTATTTCCCAAAACAAGGTACTTTTAAATTTATTTCCCAAATCAGGGTAGTTTTTGACTTGTCATCCAAATATAGTTGCCATGTCAGCACTAAAATCAAATCTGCATTTATATTATCCACGTCACTTTTTTTGAAAGAATATCCACGTCGTGTATACGTAGCTTCATGTGTCACATTAAAAATTAAAAATAGAAGAAGACTTGGAGGGGATCAGAATTGAATCTCCGCCACTTCAATTCCTATACCATAGATGCATCACCACTGCACTAAATCGATTGTCTTGCTACTTAATTGTTGTCAATCGATTGTCTTGCTACTTAATTGTTGTCAGTATACTTATTCCGTTTTTTTGGCTAATAGAAAAAGGTTTAGTGAAAATAAATATACTTTTATTCTATTTTTCATAATCAATATATGCCTGAAATATATGTTGAAAGTGTACATATATCCCTAAATTTATAAAAAGTGCAAAAATACCTCCTCACATGGGCGTATTTTAAGGTAAAAAATTTCGTGTAACTTTTTCCAAAAGTATTTTTGTACCGGTCCGGTCTGGCCTAATGCTCTGGCTCCGCCCCACCCCTTCATGTTCTTATAAAGGAGCAAATTTACCTTTATTCACTTTAAATAGATAATGTAAATTTCAAAAAAAATCCCAAAAAAAATTATAAATTCAATTAAAAAGGATTTATTATTATGCTAAAATATGAACTCTTTAATTTTAAATTTCAGAATTATTACGTTTCCGTTGTAAATGAAGCGGTTCAAATTCATAAATATTAACATTAGATTTGTTGCGAAAATTTTGAACACATTATTACATTTTTTGAAATTACATTCTTTGATTTTGTTTAACCATAATAAAGTTAAATTCACTATTTTGTAATAGAACAAGGATATATTTGTTCTCATGCATATAATAACGGGTATATTTGTACCTTTTGGCTATATTTGCACATTTTCGCTTTGGCTAATGCAGTGTCAAAAAGTTTCCGGATCTTCAAATGTAAAATAATAACAAAATAATAGATTGGACTGGACGACTTCAGCGTAGTAAGGAATAAAAGGCTCTTTTTTTTTGTTAAGAAACGACCTTGAATTTTGTGAATGTAAAGTGACCAAATTCTAAGTACTTAAATAAACTTTAGAAACTTTATTAACAAAGACTTATGGTGGCCTAATGGTATGATTGGTGAGGGTGTAATGAATTGGTCCGGGTTCAATTCCAGTTGGCCAATTTTTTATTTTTTATTTTTAATATAAACGAGATCTGGAATTGCCATGTGGCTTGAAAATTACATAGAATTAGTGATGTGGCAATTTTATTCACAAAATAAAATAAAATAGTGACATGGCACATGACAAGGCAAAAACTATCTTGATTTGGGAAATAAGTTTAAAAGTACCTTGTTTTGGGAAATAAGATTGAGAGTCCGTTTGGAGACCCCTTTTTTTGGCTTATCAGGCTTATCAGCCAGCTTTTTCACCAAACACGTAATTTTACTTTCGCGTGCTGAATTGTGTAATAAGCAGAAAAAGTAAGGTTGGAGTTATTTTTCTGGCTGTATTGGCTGAAGTTACTGTAGATGACTATTTTAGCTATTTTTACATGTAATTTTTTCTTTATTTTATTAATAAAATATATTTTTAAAATATTTTTTTCTAGAATCAGCAGAATCAGCCAAAACAGCCACTTCAGCCAGAACTTCATAAATTTCAGCAGAAACAGCCAAAACAGCCGATTTTCGTGCTACCAAACGGGCTCTGAAAAGTACCCTCCTTCGGGAAAAAACTCCTAAAATTTCCTCAACTCAAAATGGAAAGTTGTTTCTGAGCGGATGGTATGTGTTACTCCGTATATCATTATTTATTGGGGTATGTCCGTATGTGTCATATCATTATTTCCTTCCAACATACTGTAGTAAGTAGTCACAAAATGATAGCAAACTCATAAGCTTAATCAGCAACAAAAGACAGTTATTATTGAACATATATCCAATAAGATAGAACCATGACATAGTTGAGTTTGTAAGAATAGCCATGACCCCTTTGTAGTCTAAACACAGTTTTCATATTGACACAATGCAAATATAATAATTTGACACAACTACAAATTGATCTTACCCTTCATTAAGCTCTCAAAAAATATACGTAGTATTACCTACATTCAAGAGTACAATTATATTTCATTGTTCATCTTATCAAATTAAATTGTTTTTAATATTTGAATTTATATATTTGACTTTTATCATTGATATAATGGTATGCATGAATTAACTTTATAGTCAATGAAACATGCTAAAGTGAACTAATGAGAATCTATTGTAAAACAAAGCAAATATATGTATTGGTCCTACTTTTTCTTTTGACTAATTATCTTTTTCAAACCAAAAGAAAATAAATGTTGTAATCGTTAGCTACGGAGTATTTGCTTTAAAATTATAAGCAAGTACATCAAATTATTCATTAGAGTTTATCTTAGATCCCTTTAAACAAAATCATGTATGATGTATGGCTATGTATGTATGTTTATATATTTGTTAAGATATAATGTTTCATCCTAAAAGGCCAACCTGATAGGAGGAGTAGCCTAAAATCTTATACAATGTTTAATTGTTTTATAGCTTTTCGGTGTGGACAAATGCTTTTAACACGCCCATCAACCCAATCCGGGTTGGACAATATCAGGATATATAAACAGGTCAAACAGACCCTTAACAAACTAACATTAATCATGAGTGTTAAACAAGCCGTCAAACCAAAACCGGGGTTGGCTTTGATACTGCCAACCAATATTACTACCTTCTTCTTATAATGTATGAATATGTGAGTTTGACATTAATTATAACAAAATAAAAAATAAATTGATAGTTTGCACATCTACCCCAAAAGGAAAGAAAAGAAAGTTGAGTCCATAAAAATAGAGAGTGAAATGATAGATAACGGATAAAGCGTGAAACTAAAGAGTTAGTATAGTTTAATTTATGATGTATTCATGTACGGAGTACTTGGTATATTTTTGGGTCAATCTAAAAAGAAGGTGTATTTGATCCATTTGAAAATTGATGCTCAATATGATATTCACATTAGTGTCCGATTTTGCTCATTTCAAACATTAGTGTTAATTATATGAATTCCATGTAACTAGTGTCCACTGTCCAACTTCATTCTTTTATCGACATTTTTATTGTTTTATTTTTAATTGATTTGGCTTTATTAGTTTTTAAAAATATATTGAATTTTATAGCTCGGTTTTGATTTTTCTATATTATTTACAATTTAATTTAATTTGATTTAATGTCATATTAAATTGAATGATATAAGGAAATTTCACGAAATTGGATTTAAATAGTTTGCAAATTCCAAAATAAGAATGACATGTTTTTTATTCCTAAAATGAGAGTAATTACCGTCAAGTTTTGAAAATACTGCCACGTTTAAAGTCTGGTAATAACAAAACATGACAATGATAATGTCCTATTTTGGAATTTCAAACTTCATATTTCACCTAATATTATATCAAGTCCAAAACAAATTATACAGAGTACTTCATACGAGTATATGATTAGGTTCTGATTCAATTAGTTGATTTTAGTACGGTTTGGTTCTAACTAATCAAGCCTGATGTCGAAGCATCTTTCTATTTCCGTATAAAACGGTAGAACCTCCCGACCGGACTGCACGATGCCCGTCGCCTCTTCAAAGCAACTGCTATCGGCTAACGTGCGCATATCACATTTCGTTCCGTTGGCTCTTAACTCTTCCCTCGCCTCACCGCTGTCTTGCTCCATTTGTCCTAAAAGCTTATCCTTAGCTGAGAAAGAGGTTAGAGTTTTTACGAAAGCATCAATGGCTGATTTTGCTACTGGAGAGAGGAAGGCCAAAGTAAAAGTGTTCGATTCAGAAGACGAATTAAAGGCGTCTTTGGCGAAATACACTGCCGATTTATCGGAGAAATTTTGCGCAGAGCGAGGCTCCTTTTCCGTAGTTTTCTCCGGCGGGTCTCTCATCAAGTGTCTCGGGTGATGCACTAATGCGTCGTCTTGTCAGTATAAATTCATACGCATAAAAGTATTAATTAATACACGATGAAGAAGAAGAAGCAAATATCATTCTGTGTTCATAAGGTGGAATACATCCACTTCTTATACAACCAAGCCTGCGATCAAAGAGGATCGGTCAAAACTCAAAAGGAGAAATTAGAATCCTAGGCAAATACTATTACCATAAGAGAAATAATACAATTCCTTAAATAAAACAAGCCAAATCTAAACCTATGTTTAAAAAACCGACCCGACCCGGCCGGGTTGACCCGGAACCCGGTGACCCGGACAAAAATCCGGTTCGGTTTCTTCAAAACCCGAAAATGGTCAAAAACCGGAAAAAATCCGATCCGGACCCGACCCAAGAAACCCGAAAAACCCGGTTTTCGGTCTTTTCCAAAAAAAAAAGTAATTTCTTTTTTAATTTTAATGCATTTTTTAAACCAATAAAATTGCAATTTCAATTCCCTAAAAAGAAAAACTATGTAATATATTTATATATTTATTTAAGAATGAAAATCATGCCAAATTATAATATAAATGTACAATACAAATAAAAATATATAATGAGAGTGTATATAATTATATGTTTATTATTATTATATAGACGTATAATCGTTGACCGGTTTTCCGGCTTTGACCGGGTTGACCCTCCGGGTCCGGGTTGACCCGTGACCCAGTCACATGACCGGGTCGCTCACCGGTCCGGTTTTTACAACATAGATCTAAACATGCCAAATATAATGCTCCAATACCCCCCTCAAGTTGGCACATGGGGATTCAGAATGCCCAACTTGTGTAGGAGAGTCTGAAATTGAGTTTTGACAAGGGCTTTGGTGAAAATATCAGCCAGTTGAACTGTGGTAGGAACATAATTGGGAGCAATAATATTAGCCTGTATAGCATCACGGACAAAATGACAATCAATTTCAATGTGTTTGGTACGCTCATGAAATACAGGGTTATTAACAATATGAAGAGCAGACTCACTGTCGCAGTAGAGCGGGATAGCGTGAGGGTGCTGAACTCCCAAACTCAATAATAAAGCCTTTAGCCACTTGAGTTCACATGTAGCAGCTGCCATGGAGCGATATTCAGCCTCGGCAGATGATCGAGCAACCGTGGACTGTTTTTTAGATTTCCAAGAGACAGGTGAGTGACCAAGGAACACTAACCAACCAGAGAGAGATCTACGAGTATTAGGGCATGCGGCCCAATCAGAATCACACCAACCGGTAAGAGTAAGATCACTGTCAGCCCGAAGAAGAATACCCTGACCCGGTGAACCCTTGAGATACCGAACTACCCGTAGAGCAGCAGACCAATGCTCAGTCCGAGGGTTTTGCATGAACTGGGATAAGATGTGGACCGAATAAGTAAGATCTGGTCGGGTAACCGCCAAATAAATAAGCCTACCGATGAGACGACGATATTGTTCAGGATCTGGGTGTAGTGGACCGGAAGCACCTCCCAGATTGTGGTTTTGCTCAATTGGAAAGGAGGCTGGTTTGGCACCCAAGAGACCGGTTTCAGTAATAATATCAAGGGCATATTTTCGCTGATTGAGAAATATGCCAGAGGAGCTACGGGCAACTTCAATGCCAAGGAAATATTTAAGAGTACCCAAATCCTTCATATGAAAACATGCATGAAGATATGATTTAAAACCAGCGATCGCTTTACTGTCATTTCCAGAGATAAGAAGATCATCCACATAAACAAGTACATTGAGCTGAGTAACACCACGTGTGAGTGTAAACAAAGAATAATCAGCATAAGACTGGAGAAAACCATAATCTTTAAGCGCGTTGACTAATTTAGCGAACCAACATCGCGGAGCCTGTTTAAGTCCATATAAAGACTTATGAAGACGACACACCAAAGATGAGTCATTGGTAGTGTATCCAGGAGGAATGGTCATGTATACTTCTTCATGAAGATCACCGTGAAGAAATGCATTATGGACATCCATCTGATGCAACTCCCAATTTTTACATGCAGCTATAGCAAGAAACGCACGCACAGTAACCATTTTGGCTACCGGAGCAAAAGTTTCAGTATAATCTAAACTAGCTACTTGTCTATTCCCAAAAATGACTAAGCGGGCCTTAAGGCGTTCAACACTACCATCAGATTTATGTTTAACTTTATAAACCCATCGACACCCTAAGGCGCGTTTTCCAGGAGGCAAGGGAACAAGGCTGAAAGTAGAATTTTCCTCAAGGGCGGCAATTTCTGTACGCATAGCCTGACGCCACCCTTCATGTTTGATGGCATCAGAAAATGTTAGGGGCTCCGTAATAGAGTCAAGAGCTGCCAAGTAAGCAACATGTTTCGGGGAAAATTTATCACAAGTAACATAATGAGTTATAGGAAACGGCGTACCTGAAGAGGATGACGAGACAGGAGGAACGGGAAATGGACTGTTTGAAATAATAGTGTGAGTGACAAAATCTTTGAGACGCACAGATGGAACTCGGGCTCGCTGTCCTCGTCCCAAAACAGTCGGCTGTTGTAATGAATCAGCCGCATCAGATATTGGTGGAGTATCATTTGGAGGTTGCACTGCCGAATCAAAATTATCCAACGAAGTAACCTGGGGTTTAGTAGCTTTTGATGTGGCAGGATTATCCAAAGAAGTAACATGGGGTCAGTGGCTTTTGACGTGGGAGGATAACCATAAACATCCAAATCAGTATAATCATGGGGCATAATAACAGATGACTCAGGTGGTGGATCAGTAGATGCAGGAGAACTAGCAAACGGGAAAATAGTTTTAAAAAATTTTACATCACGTGAAATAAAATATTCTCGAGACTCGATATCATAAACAGTCCATCCTTTTTTGCCAAAAGTGTATCCCAAAAATACTCATTTTCTACTGCGACTGAAAAATTTGTCACCTTTGGACTTCATATTAAAAGCATAACACAGGCAACCAAAAACACGGAGAGATTTATAACATGGTGGGACACCAAATAATATTTCATAAGGTGTCTTATAATCATGAATAACAGAGGGTGTACGATTAATAAGATGTGATGCAGTAAGCACACACTCTCCCCAAAAAGAAATAGGTAAATGAGCTTGAAATCTCAAAGCACGTGCAACATTCAAGATATGTCTATGTTTACGCTCAACACGCCCATTTTGTTGTGGCGTTCCAACGCAAGATGTCTGAAAGACAATCCCACTAGTCCGGAAAAATTCTTTTAAGCAATTAAATTCCGTCCCATTGTCACTTCTCACAGTAATAATTTTCTTGGAAAACTGGCGATCCACCATAGCCACAAAAGAAAGAAACATTTTAAAGACTTCCTTTTTATCAACAAGCCGATAAACCCACACAGCACGGGAATAATCATCCACAAGTGTCAAAAAATGTCTAGCACCACACGAAGAAGGGGTGTTATAAGGACCCCATAAATCACAGTGAATTAATTCAAAAATTCCATGAGTTTTATTCAAACTAGTAGGAAAAGAATCTCTAGTTTGTTTAGCCTTAAAACAGACATCACAGGGAATGTTTCCAACAGCCTTCACACCACTTACAGGAGTCAAATGTTCAATTACTTGAGTAGACGGATGCCCCAACCTTTGATGCCATAAATCTATCACCAAATTCTTGGATTCTCTTGCTGCCAAAATATGTGCTGAAGGTTCCTCACGAAGATAATACGGTCCATTTCGCCGTTCACCCATTCCAATCAGCCTCTTCGAGACACGGTCCTGTATAACACATACGTTACAAGTGAATTGAACAAAACAGTCAAGTTGATCACTCATTTGAGATACCGAGATAAGATTGCAATTCAACTCAGGAACATATAACACATTATTCAAATAGAAATTATCATAGAGTATTACACGCCCTTCTCGAGTTGCCATAACAGTCTGTCCATCTGGCAAACCAACTGGACAGAGATCAATAGATTTAATTTGGCATAAATAAGCCAAATTTCCACACACATGATTGGTGGCACCTGTATCAATAATCCATGCATTTTTATCGAGCTTACCAACTACATGATCATGAGTAGAAGACGAGTTACCAAAGACGGACAACAAGGTATTCCACTGCTCGGACGTGAAACCAGGCATCGGTGTGGACCATTCACTGCTGCTTTCTCCATTCATCATTCTTGCGGAAGCAGATTAAGGAGTCTCTGATACCATGTCAGTATAAATTCATACGCATAAAAGTATTAATTAATACACGATGAAGAAGAAGAAGCAAATATCATTCTGTGTTCATAAGGTGGAATACATCCACTTCTTATACAACCAAGCCTGCGATCAAAGAGGATCGGTCAAAACTCAAAAGGAGAAATTAGAATCCTAGGCAAATACTATTACCATAAGAGAAATAATACAATTCCTTAAATAAAACAAGCCAAATCTAAACATGCCAAATATAATGCTCCAATAATTGCTATTATTGGAATTAAAAATTAGATCAATGCCTGACAGATTGAGTTTACAATGATAGGAAATTACTAGAACCTCCGTATGTTGACTCTGTGCACTGGTCAAAGTGGCACATTTTCTGGGTGGATGAGCGCGTGGTACCAAAGGATCATCCAGATAGCAATTACTTGCTCGCTTATGATTCTTTTCTATCCAAGGTACGCGATTTCTGATTATACTGACTGAGTGACTGGCTTTATTTTCGAACAAAAGCATCCCATTTGTAGGAAAATGATCACATCTTTTGATTTGTTTGCCCTTGTTTTTTGAAAACCTAAGGCACTTTCTGATTTCACAGTATTCCATCTTTGGATAGGGCCAGTTACTATAAAGTACCCAAGTGATTTGAATGCAACAGCCATTACTACATTGGGATTCTGTTTTCATTGGGTAGTTTGTATAAGTGAAGAGATTTACGATGATAAGGAGAGGATGAATTGCTAGTGGCAATGTAACGGTGAAATGTATTAATAACAAGAATCGGTGGGTCTCTATTTTTAAGGCGGAAATTCAAGCAACACATATATGGAATGCTGCTTTGATTGGTTTTTATTCAGTTAAGATAATGCTGGTAGAGATTACATAGGGCAAATCGAAAAGCATAAAAGGTAAGAGGTGTGAGAAGAAACTGAATAAAGAAGTAAATGAAATCAGTTGATGTGAATAGATTTTACCGTTAAGGTCTGGAAGTGTATAATGGAGAAGTGCACTTCCGCTTTCAATCTATAAGAGAAAGTTAGATGTTTAACACTGTTCTAATAAAATAGGAATAAAACTAATGACACATACATGAATCATTTTGTACATTTCATTTTTATTACCTGCCCAGTGTTTTTAAGTACTCATCATATATTCATATTTGTACGTAAAACATAAAGGCAAACACACTACCCAAAAAGAAAAGGCAAACCATGTTGAAGTGTTAATATGCGAGTATGACATAAACCTTACCTTTTGAAGATTTTTTGGGGTGAGTTAGGCCTAATTTAATATGGTATGGTGTATGGGAGCTTGGTCTGGTGTGTTTTTGTTTGTCTAGAACTCAGGGTTTGGAGCTTGTTTGGTCAGTTTGGCTCATTTATTTACCATCCAATCGTCCCATCTTGTTCTTTTTCTTTTGTAGATACCCATTCCTGCTGGTAATGTGTATGCCATAAATGAGGCCTTGTCTGCTGAAGGTGCAGCCAGTGGCGGATCCACTGCTGTTCAAAAGTGTTCAACTGAACACTTAAAATTTTCAAAACACAATACCTTGTATTCATGGTGACTTCGTTTTGCATATTTTGGAAAAATACATGTCTATCCGTCGTTTTTAAATTAGACCTGTAGAAAAAACAATTGCTGACATACTAGTGGCCGACTGGCCGGCTTAGTGCGTACTAGAGTGCTATTGGTCTACTGGTCTTCGAGGGAATTTGGAAGATATATATGCTACTTTCCTTATTATATTACATGTCTATAAAATTCAATTATCAATGTAGTTGAAAAATCTTTCAACTGGTGTAGTAATTGAATGAAAATTTACTACTTTAGTATTGGTAGGTTTTATTGAAATAGATAAGTGTATAATTTGTTGGCTATTTAACACTATCGTAATTTTTTTTATTGTAATAATGACAAAGTGTATAATTCTTGCATAAATTAATACTCCATAGTATCATTTGAAATTGTAATTTTTGTGTGATTCCGAACACCCAAAATATAATTGCTAGATCCGCCACTGGGTGCAGCAGATGATTATGAGACTTGTCTCAAGCATTTGGTCAAAACCAAGATAGTATGCATGTCTGAGTCTAGTGGATTTCCACAATTTGATCTAATACTGTTAGGAATGGGTCCCGATGGCCATGTTGCTTCTCTATTTCCTGGGCACCCTGTTCTCCAGGAGAAACAGAAGTGGGTTACGTTCATTACGGACTCTCCTAAACCTCCTCCAGAAAGGATCACTTTCACATTACCTGTTATCAACTCTTCTGCAAACATTGCTCTTGTTGTACCCGGCGCTTCCAAGGCAAAAGCTGTGTATTCAACATTGAGGGATGGCAGTCAAAATCCCATTTCATTGCCGGTACAAATGGTTTCGCCTGGAGGGGAACTTGTCTGGTTTTTGGATAAGGGAGCTGCCTCAGAGCTCTAAGTATGCATGTATATATGTAATCTCAATGGTTGTGTTGTGCTTTTGATGGTTTCTCTTGTATATACAGGCAATAAAGCGGATTGGTATACCTTTACACTCTATAGGTTGAGCATAATAGGAATATAGGATACCCGATCCCAATGTGTTTAAGGACTATATGAAATGTAATTCGTGTGAATCTACATGTAACTTCAAGTTTATCAAGATGTAAATTACATTCATTGAAATGTAAACTGTTTTGATTCAAATGTAACTTGAGAAGAAAACTGATGTAATTTTTGAATGTAACTTTAGCCTATTCAAATGTAACTTGGGAATGTAAATTTTGGAACAATAAGGTTCATTCATTAATAAAGAAAAAAGAAAGAGGAGGAAGTGGCTCTGCATCACAGGTCGCAATCCTGTAGGGGATAGGGGTCTCCATTGGCGGTGACGTCCGGCCAAATCGTCCTCAAATTGGTGGTGGTCAAGCTCTGCGGCAGGTTGCCATGGATGCCGCTTCCTTCTCTATGGCAGGCTGCCATGGATGCCGATTCCCTCTCTCTCCACTGCACCTTCGTTTTTGACTAGTCTGTCACCCCTGTTCATCGCTACAAACTTAGGTTTTTTTTGCCAAGGAAACGACGTCGTTCAGGGGGACCGGTACACCTTCCGTATGGTGTACCGGTTGCACGGTATAAATTGCGATTTGCAGCTTATTATTATTCTTATCGTCATTACTTTTATTGTTATTATTATTATTCTTATTTATACATGTTCTTTTAATGTTTTAAAAAAAGCATGTTCTTTTAATATGAAGCTATTATGGTCATAGTTATTAAAAATTTCCTAAAACAGGCGGATGTTAGATTAGTTTTAAATTTGTCAAGTGACGAACAATTGTTTAATTTAAATTAATAATGGTTGATGATTTATAGTAGTCATGGACCCGGTTCGGGCCACCCGGCCCGGCCCGGCCCGCCACTGTGCGGGCCCGGAACCGGCCCGGTTCTCGGGTCCGGGTCCGGGTCGGCCTAGGCCCGGTGGGGGGGCGGGTCCGGGCTCGGGCCTTGTATTTGGCGAACCGGTCCGGCCGGGTCGGGTCCGGGTCCGGGCCAAAAACTGTTTTTTTTTTTTCATTTTTTTGGGCTTTATTGAGTTGGGCTTGATGTTTAGGACCGGTTTGGGGGGTTTGGGGGTGAGGGGGGGGGGGGGGGGGGGGGAAGAAAAGGAAAAAAAAATAAACTAACCGGGTGGCCCGGCCCGGTCCGGCCCGAAACCGGACCCGGAACCGGTGGCCACCGGTTCGGGCTCGGGCCCAACAAAACAGACCCGAGGCCCGGCCGGGCCTAGGCCCGAACCGGCCCGGGGTCATCCCTAATTTATAGTAAAGGAAACCTCATTAAACCGTGCTTCCTATATTGCCGCTCAAGTTGAGAATGTTTTCTTTAGGACAATTTTCAGTCCCAGATCAGATCAGACCAGATCAGACTTCCGTAGTAATAAAATACACAGAGACCAGACCAGATCAGACTAGATCAGACCAGACCAGACCATACCAGATCATACTAGATCAGACCAGACTAGACCAGCAAATTTCAGTCCAAAAGAAAACATCCTAAACATCCTAAGTAATATGGCCATGTGTTAATTTAGCAATTCTTCCCTACACTCTTATATTTCAAGTTTTATACGGAGTATATAAATACAAGTTTGGTAGCTAAGTAGTCTTATTGAATCGTTATTAAATATTAGGAGCTATTCATTCATGGTACAATTTAATGGCTTAAATTGGTTTAAATTGGTATGTAAGTTTAAGTTTGCTCTATTCGGACTTTGTCAGAACTACTCTCTTTTATTAATATGGAGTATAGTTTATGTGTGTTTTTACGGCCAAATTACCAAATTGGTAAAAAAAAAAAGAGGGTCCTTGGACAGATTGGTAAAAAATACCAATTGAGACATATTGGTAAAAAAAAGAAGGTCTAGTGACAAATTGGTCAATTTTTTGTGAGTGATAAACTTTTGATCCTCGACTTTAGAATTCTCGACATTTCATATTTTAGTTGCTGTGGATTATGTTTCTAAGTGGGTTGAGGCTGAAGCTCTACCCACGAATGATGCTAGAGTTGTGATTCGTTTTCTGAAAAAGTTGTTTTCTAGATTTGGAGTGCCAAGAGTTTTGATAAGTGATAGGGGCACCCACTTTAGGAATGATCCCATGACGCGCCTTTTGGCAAAGTACGGGGTCACTCGTAAAGGGGGCGTCCCATATCACCCTCAAACTAGTGGCCAAGTTGAGAATTCGAATAGGGACATTAAGACCATCCTTGAGAAGACTGTTGAGACCCATAGGAAGGATTGGTCTGATAATTAGATGATGCGCTGTGCGCATTGCGTACGGCGTATAAGACACCCATTGTCACTACTCCGTTTCACTTGGTTTATGGGAAGGCGTGCCACCTTCGGTAAGATATAGAGCATAAGGCCTACTGGGCCTTGAAAACGCTGAATAAGGATCTTTCTTTGGCAGGTCGTGAGCGGCCTCGGAAGCTCAACGAGTTGGATGAGTAAAGAGCTTTGTAAGGGGGATCAAGTTCTGTTATTCAAGTTCTTAGGCTTATGGCCTATGAGAATTCTAAGATTAGTAAAGAGCGTACCAAAGTCTATCATGACTGGCACATTAAACAGGGAAAAGAGTTTTGTAAGGGGGATCAAGTTCTGTTATAAATTTTTAAAGGAAAGCTGAAGTCTAGGTGGTCCGGTCCTTTTGTAGTGAGCGAAGTTTTTCCATATGGAACTGTTGAAATCGACCATCCTGAGAAGGGTCGTTTTAAAGTTAACGGCCATCACCTGAAGAAATACTACGGAGGACCTGTGGTACGTTGATGACGGACCATCATGTGGTGATCCTTTTGAAGAAGCAAACGATACATCTGATTTGGAAAGGGAGTGGAAGAGGAGGCATGACCAGTTCCATAATGTATCCTATCCAAGTTATTAGATGTATATAGCCGAAAGTAGTTGCTGTTCTGTCTTGACTTGTTAATTATTAGATGGGATATCGTGATGGCCTCATAGCTGGAAAAGAATTTTCAGCACAGAAAGGGTTTAATTCTGGTTTTATAGAATCAGTATACATCGGATACAACTGGGGTGTGCTCAGAGGCGTAATTGGGTTAGTAAGTGAAACCGGCTTCATTTTCTTGCATTGAACATGTGTATTGATATAGCTCTCTCTCTCTCTCTGATTGATGAAGGACTTTGGCATGCCTCCCCCCTGAACTGCAAGAAAGGTTGATAACAAAGGAAAATAGAATGAAGTTCCACAAGACCACAAGTTTCAAGAATCTCTACAGCCTGTTTCTGCTGTGGAGGATGCATTGAAGATGTTCAGTGAATCCCACCTGTCAAAGAGATCGGCAGGAGAGCAAAAAGGTGAGACTGTTGAATCTTCTGATGATTGTTTCCATAATTACCAATGTGAGTTTGAATCGCTTATCCGTGAGCTGCCTGCAATTAAATTGCTTTCAAAAGCAAACTACTAGTGTATACCTTTATCTTACTTGATTGTGCTGCGTTGTGTTTTGTTCATCACCAAAATATATATGCCGCAAGATTGTTCGCAGTTTCACACTTTACCCCCACAAGAAGAAACAGTGTCTCAACTATCAAGTGTCAATGAAATGTTTGAAAACATAGGCCTCTTCCTCTTCACTAATCTAATCATATTGGAGTATTGGACCACATCAGATCAGTAACAATCAACAAGTTGTGGTCTTGTGGAGAGGATTTGAATTTGTTTCACGGGTCACATGTATTGTACCAAGTGGGGCATTGGTCATGACTAAAAGATGCTGTATTTTAGAAAGGTAATATTTGGTATATAGGGAATTAGGGGCCCTACAAAAACGTCTTTTGAGGAATGGTCCAGGGAATTTGGTAGCTATAGGCTTTCAACCGTATGTGTCAAAAGGCACATGAACTCTTCATAAGAGATAAATTTCCCTAAACAACTGGGTTTATCGCGAGTGTCACTACTTTAGCTGAGGGGGTTGAATAGTTGATAGTCTTGCTTCCGTCTGTTTGCAACCCATTAAAAAAAGTGCTTTTAACTTTTTTTAAAGAAAAAAACAGTTATTTTACCAAACACTACCAACTTTTACTTTCTCGGCTTCTGTGTAGAATCTACTTTTTACTTTTTCTATTACACAAAAAGTACTTATTTTACCAAACATTACCAACTTTTACTACTAGTCACTTTTCCCCAAAAGTGCTTTTATTTAAGCAGAAGTGGTTGCAAACAAATCCTAAATCAACTTTAGGTCTATTTGTATATCCTAGTGTAGTGGATGATACCAAGAATATTTTTCCAATGTTTTGTGAAACCAAAACTGTTGGTGTTATTTGCCGTACAATTATTTTGAAATACAAAGGATACCAAGGATATTTTTCTGAAGTCTTATAAACCAAAACTTTTAGGATAATTTCAAAATTAGTTTAGGTTTGGCGAGTCGGAATAAATTGCATTCCATGATCTAGTTTCTTTTCACGTATTTCCAAATAATGAGCTTCCACTTGATTCTTAAACAAATAACCTAATCGGGAGCATAGCTAATTTGGTAGGAAGGAGGGTGTCACAAGGGAGATGTTCCGAGTTTAACCTCCAAGCAAGCTTGAAATGAAACTCTCTCTTTCCATCAATGTGTGACCAAAATTCAATTTACGTTCTTCTGGATAGTTGCCGGGTCAGTTTTGAGGGGTTCTCAAAGATGATGTCTCACCCTTTTTTATTTCAAATAACATTTTAAGACTTACTTGGTACAAACAACTTAATAGAAATAGACTCAATTACTAATCTATAAATAGATTCATCAATGAGAAATATAATAAGTTTATTGGAAAAAATAATTTATAATTTACCATCTTTGACATATAAGTTTATTGTGCTTGCTTTATGTTTTCCACTGCACATTAAATTAAACATTCTACTCATTTTATTATAACACAAAACTTTATTTCAATGAATTACATGTAGTTTTAGCACATTACTTCTATACTCATTTGGGCATAAGATAAAACTCACTTAAACCATTCGTAAATATAATATACAGTGTATACTTTATACTATACTAATTTTACAGCTTAATATCGATGCTCATTTCTTTTAAATGACATGCTCATTTATGTGTAACACAAAATTCATTTCAATATTAACATGGAATTAACACATTATTACAATTCAAACTAATAAAGTTAGCTATGTTTCCTGGTTTATCATAGAAAAATATTGGGAAAGCATATTTCAACAATTTTACAGAATGTTTAAACATCAAACTGAAAAATTTACATAAAAAGATCTAAAATTTAATAAAATCGTATAATTTAGTAAAATATATTTTAAATAGCAGATTTTATGCAAAACAAATCATACTCATGTTAACATCTTATAAGTAATTTATCAAGAAAAAAACGAACATTTACTTTAGAATTTTTTAAACACTTGGTGGACATTCCATATTTAGGAATCAATTTTTAAAATATGGAGAATTACGAAAGAGGGGGAACGGTTTTAATCAAATCCTCGTATCAATTGGTATATTTTGAAATGGAATCAACTCTTGACCCATCAGCTCGTGTACACGCATTCCTTATTCTCGAGTTCCATGGAGAAAAGTAATCACATAACTCCTTCGTCCAATAGAAACTTATGATCCCTAGAGATCCTTTTGTAGGAAAGCAAATCGAATGCTCCGTAGTATTGATATTAAAGAAAAAAGAAGAAAGTAGAAAGATTCTTGATAGCAGGGAAGGAATAGCCGGGGAAGTACGAATGGACATAGCAGCAAGCACTCTAAGAAGAACATGACATCTTACCTTTACCATTAGAATTGCAAACAATTACAAAAAAAAACACCTCTTTCTTCAGTCAAATGACAACTTCAGCCACGGACATGTTGTATTAAAAATGTGTTTTGTAAATAAGTTGTGTATTAAAAATGTGTTTTACAACATGTCCCAATGACACCTCTTTCTCCACTAGAAGGTCTAAAACACAACTTATTTACAAAGCACCCACGGAGGGAGCTGGTCAGTAGCCACCTCTTTCTTCAGCCTCAGGACTGAAGTAAATATCATCAATGGGAAACACCATGAACTTAGTTAGGTTGCAGGAATGAGGTCCAAAATGATGGTTTAATCTGTACGGAACATGTCTGCTTGAGGCTTGAACGTCCTAAGTACCAAATTTGGGAATATAACCATGGAAACCATAAAAAGAGTGAACTGCAAGAAATTGAAGCAAATGTGTTACAGATATCACCAGATCATTTGGATGTGCTTCTGTTAAGCGGTTTTGATAAAAACAAGAAAAAACACACCTTAACTTATCATGCTATAGGCTAGATATTCCAAAGAAAATGTTTATCTCAAAAGCAGTTAAGGGTAAACCACCTGCCAAGTGCTTCTCTCAAAAGCACTTTCAAGTGCCTTTTGACTTTTTAAAAGCCGTTTTGAAAATGTCACTTCTAAATGTAAAAGTGCTTTTGACACATTAAAATCACTTTTTGGCAGGCCCCCCTCTCTTCAAATGTACTACGTATTTCTGAAGAGGCCGCTCTAATAAGACTGGAAATAAATAAAAAATAAAAAAAAGCTGCTTGATCACATAATTTCATGGATATAGCAAATACGAAGTATGTTAATTGTGCACAAGGTATGACAACCAAAAACGAGTAGGAACAAGCAAAAATGAGTAGAGATTCCCTCTCTTCAAATGTACTACGTATTTCTAAAGAGGCTGCTCTAATAAGTCTGGAAATTAAAAAAAAAACTGCTTGATCACATAATTTCATGGATATAGCAAATACGAAGTATGTTAATTGTGCACAAGGTATGCTTTTGGAGTGTAGGAACAAGCAAAAATGAGTAGAGATCCCCCCCCCGGAATGTAGGAACTGTTGGGTGAAGATTTCTTTCCGGCTCAGGTCTCCAACCCTTTTGCTATACTCTCACACACCACTCTAGGCTAGACCACAACACAACTCCAAGCTTCTTCTCTACCACTAAGGTATTCTCTCTCACACTCTCACACAAAGGAAATGGAGAAGAAGAAGGGCACTGCTCTCTCTAATATTTCACGCAGGCTTCTTCAACAAGGGAGAAGCAAAGCTACTAAATAATAGGCTGATAGACACAAGGACACTCACATGTGATGCAAAGACAAGGAGGGCAGCATAGGACAGCTCAAAGGGGTCACTTCACATAAGTCAAAATGGCCATATTATTGGTTAGGAGAGATTCAAAACAAGAGGTGCCAAAGTAGGAGTAAACATGGGGTGCAAGTCAATAATAAAGTGGAAGGGAGACCTTGGTAGGACCAATACCTCCAACATTCTCCACCTTATTGGTCCTAGGTGATGTAGAGTAGCAACACAAAGTTGTGAGGAGACTCATCATCGCCGGATTATTACAAGTACATCATTGCGATCATACAAGTAATAGATGAGAACCAAAGTTCCCTTTCAGACCAAGCTTACCATGCAAACCCACTTCACGATGGACTGAACTCTACCAATCGGTCCTCGAGTTCAGAACTAAAACCATCACAAAACTATTAACAAGTACAACACATGTTAATAGACCACGCAAGCAAGCATCCGGGAGAAGTTGGGGATTCCAACTAATCCAACAACCACACATAACAAGCACAAAGAAAATAAAAGAAACAATATTATTTCTATAACTAGCACAGGTAGAGCTCACATAATCACTTGGTATCACATTTTCAAAACACAAAGAAAATAGCATACCAAATATCACAAAGATTTTAATTAAAAGAGAATTAAGCACATTTAAAGCAAACTCAGAGGAAATATAGTCAAACACATTGCACATATAATTTCTCACATGCTTCCTAATGTCTCTATCTCTAATAACATGGCAATCACGCAACTCAAGCATATTGCACACAACATTCATATCATGCTCCACCTTAATAGAAATATTATTTTCTTTATTTTCACCATGAAAAACATTTTCATCCGCAAATTTGGGTTCGGTTTCAACAGGTAAATCAGAATGAACATCAGGCAAATGCTCCACCTCATTTGGAGCAACATCAGGAGAAACAAGCAGGCAAGGAAATTCATTTTCAACAAAAATGACATTTCTACTCATCAACACATTGAAGCAAGTTTCACTCCTACACCAAAGCCTATAACCTTTCATGCAATCATGATATCCTAAGAAAACATATTCCTTAGTCCTAGGTTCAGATTTATCATTCAGACGATTCACATAAGCAGCACAACCAAACACTCTCAAATTTGTCAAGTCAAGTGGTTTGCCCATGAACACAGATTCAGGGCATTTCCCTCCTAAGGGAACAGACGGGGACAGATTAACCAAATCAACAGCATAACAAATAGCTTCCCCCCAGAACTTATTAGAGAGCCCATATGAAGCTAACAAAGCCCTCACCCTCTCTAATAAAGTTCTAACCATCCTCTCAGCAACCCCATCCGGTTGGGGTGTGGAGGGAACAGATTTATGCATAGAAATACCCCAAGTATCACATAAATCACCAAGCTGATTATCACAGAAATCAAAACTGACATTGGTCCTTAAAAAATTTATTTTCTTACCGGTTTACTTTTCAACAAGGGTTTTCCAGTTTTTAAACTTATCAAAAACTTCAGATTTATTTTCAATCAACAAAACCCACACTTTCTTTGAAAAATCATCAATCAACGTCAGAAAATAATTTTTCCCACCATGAGTGGAAACACAATAAGGACCCCACAAGTCAGCATGAATACAATCAAGCACATTAGTACACTTAGGCAGATCAGGAAAACCAACTCTAGACTGTTTTCCTAGCACACAGGGTTGCACATAAATTACAGAATCAAGTACGGGTTCAGCATGACAAACATACAAGTTGTTCTTCATCTCAGCTTTGAAAACAACTAAACAACCCTTCACAACTTTCATGATTCCCTTTCCCCATTTTCCCTTCAAACCCACATTTTCAAGAGAAGCACAAGATAGCAAATTACAGCATAGCTCAGGAACATGCCTAACATTCTTCAAAGTAAGCACATAACCAGAAGAAAACCTAAGGCATACATCTCCTATTCCTAACACATTGCATTTCTTCTTATTTGCTAAAGACACAAAGCCATGCTCAATCTCTCTATAGTTTGAAAAAACATTTTTCAACAGGGACATGTGAAAAGTACAACCAGAATCTACCACCCAATCTGATTTACCCAAAGAATCAGATATCACAGAACTCAAATAGTCATAATCACATAGATTTCTCATCATAAGCACATCACCTAAATCATCTTCACACGTAGTCAAATTAGCATGCTCACTATGCTCATTTTTCCTAGATTTAGGACAGTCTCTTATGAAATGACCAGATTCGTGACAATAATAGCAACGCCTCGAACTAGACCTAGACTCAGATCTATGTCGTCTACTATTATTTTCTCTACCCCTCACATGCATAACTTCCTCGGATTTTCTACCCTCACCCATCTGTTTTAAATCTAATTCCTTACTCTTAAGACCATTTACCACAATGTCAAGAGTCACATTATCTCTACCATACTTAATAGCAGATTTCACATCACTAAAGGAATCAGGAATAGCATTTAAAAGAGCAATAGGGGAATAATCATCTATATGCTTATCACCACACAACTTAATATCCGAAATAAGTTTGGTAAAAACATCTAGATTTTCTTCAATATCTATAGACATATCTAGTCTAAATTTGAAGAACTTCTCAAGTAAAAATATCCGGTTAGGCAAAGAGGTCTCAGTATACAGTTCATTCAATTTATCCCACAGAATTTTAGCACTCACTAAAATTCCAACTTTTCTAATCACGGAGTCAGATAAGTTCAAATAAATCACAGAACATGCATTTTCATTCATTTCAGCCCTTTTCTCTTCTGTGTCAGAAATTAAATAGGTTTCGCCAACTGCTTTAGAACATTTTTGTTGTATTAAAATACATTTAATTTTTTGCTTCCAAATGCTAAAATCAGATTTTCCATTAAATGGAGCCATACCATACTGATTATAAGCAGACATTTTCACAGAGAAAAAATAAGCAACAAAAGAAAATGTAAATTTCGCTGAAAAATAATTTAAATATTTATAAGGCTACAACTATACGGAGCAACTAGCACGAACACGCGGGGAGTATTAATGAGCACCAAACTCAACTTCAAACCCCTTGTTCTTCCGTATAAGCAGAAATAAATAATAAATTTTCAGCACAACACAATACAACAATTCAATCAATTTTAACAGCAATTATAAACCTAAAAATATAATTTATACACAATAAAAGATTAAATCACTACAAAAGCGATAAAAGGGATAAAAGTCAATATACCGGAGCGAAACCCTAGGAGAGGCGTTTCGACCTTACCCACCCAATTTAAAAATTGGGATTTTTCTGGAGTTCACTGCCGTTGACTGAGTTGACTGTCAGTTGACTGATTCTTCCCTTGCTCCAGGTCCAATTTGTTGACCAGTCCAGTTTCCCTTGCTAAAATCCTGATGCGTATAGGTCCAGTATCCTAGCAGCAGTCCAGAGAAATGCAGTACAGAAGCTCCAGCAGCCTGGTTCCAGCCTCCCTTCAGCAATCCAGCAGCTCTAGGAGCCCAATTGCATCGGCCCAGAAGCACAGGGGCGGCCCAAACTATAGAACCTGCCCAACCCAAAGAACTAAAATCCGAGCGTCATATCCTTCGTCTTCGTCTCCAGCTTCTGCGCGACGAAGAGTACCCGGCGTCCCTCTGCTTTCTGCGACCAGCGATTTTTGTAGCAGCGTCCAGGGAGATAGCTTCAAGCTCCAGCTTTGGTAGCTCCCGTCCAGATCCAGCTCAAGCCCGGCGACTTTGGGCGAGCTATGTACCTGCGACGGCAAGTGGAGGTTCAGGCAGCGGCGATGCTCCAAGACACATCCATGGACGTTGAATCGACGGTCACGACTTCCCAGACCTTGAATCGGCGGTGGACGGAGGCCAGCGGCGGTGGACGGCGGGGCACGGCGGCAGACGGCGGAGCACGACGGCGGAGACTTTCCAGGTGGCGGAAACCGGCGAAATCGACGGCAACGACAACACAAGCTCTGATACCACTGTTGGGTGTCGATTTCTTTCTGGCTCAGGTCTCCAACCCTTTTGCTATACTCTCACACACCACTCTAGGCTAGACCACAACACAACTCCAAGCTTCTTCTCTACCACTAAGGTATTCTCTCTCACACTCTCACACAAAGGAAATGGAGAAGAAGAAGGGCACTGCTCTCTCTAATATTTCACGCAGGCTTCTTCAACAAGGGAGAAGCAAAGCTACTAAATAATAGGCTGGTAGACACAAGGACACTCACATGTGATGCAAAGACAAGGAGGGCAGCATAGGACAGCTCAAAGGGGTCACTCCACATAAGTCAAAATGGCCATATTATTGGTTAGGAGAGATTCAAAACAAGAGGTGCCAAAGTGGGAGTAAACATGGGGTGCAAGTCAATAATAAAGTGGAAGTGAGACCTTGGTAGGACCAATACTCCAACAGGAACAACCAAAAACAATTCATACTATACAAAAACAAATTAATACCACAACTATTTAAGCATATAACAAAAATGACATGAAGTCACATCTTACTACAAAATCCAGCGACTTGACCTTTATGTGATGATTTGGTACCGGTTTTTATGGTCGGACTAACCAGATTTGTAGTGCCTCTGTGTTATTTTTCATTATATATTGGGAAAACAGTCAAATAGGTCCTTGAACTTTCATAAAAAGGTCAATTAAGTCCTTCTATAGGAGGTTCTGTCCGGCCGTCGCGGTTTGGGGCAGTTACCAGTGGAATTTTTTGATGAAATTTTTTTAGCATCGTACTCACTAAGTCTAGTTTACTCATACCAAATTTCAGCTAAAAATTCAATCGGGAACACATTCAAATTAATTCTTGAAGATAGCTGCGCATTTTTGCGTTCTCGAATTAATTCGAATGCGCTCCCAATTGAATTTTTAGCTAAAATTTGGTATGAGTAAATTAGGCTTGATGAATAAGATGCTCAAAAAATTTCATCAAAAAATTCCACCGGGAACCGCCCCAAATCGCGATGACCGGACAAAATCTCATA